AACGTGAAAAACTTTCGTTGGACGAATTTTCTTGTAAACTTCATATTTACTGAGATATCGCACTTTGACGCACTAATGAGCAACCCTGTATATATTACTTGTTGTTTATTGTTTATATATATACTTTTTACAGATAAAAAAAAATCTTTGAAGCATTTTTGGGAACAACTTTAAAACATACGTCTTTTGTGATAGGAAGCCGTGCATTTTCTAACAGCCTTCAAGACACCAATAAACAGCTACCATCTTCGCAGATTATTGACGATTTATGAAAACAGATAGGGAAAAAGATAATCTGAAAATATGAAAATATCATTATTCATTTTGAACAGAGGTTTCTGTTTAAATATTAATCTGTAATTCTACATAATACAGATGTATTAAGTAGCGGTCTCAGCGGTGAGCAACCCGATGCTATGAACTAGCTCTAATGAGAAAAATATCATGTTTTCCATTTATTTGTTTCTTGATGAAAATGCCATAACTTCAGTTTTAAATCATTTCAATCAACTTCAGTTTTAAATCATTTCAATCGATAAGACAAGACAGGGAAGATGGGTATGGAGGAGTAGCAACATTAATCAAAAATAATATTACATTTGATACCATTGAAACTTTTAATAATAAACACATTCAGTACATAACAATTAAAATAAAAAACATTTTTTTTAACAAACATCTATTGTAACTCAAATCACAAAATATCCCAGGAAATTTTAAAGAACATCTTAAACATAGCCACCCCTATGGTTCTCATGGGGGATTTGAACAGTCATCACCCCTTGTGGGATAAAACTACGCCTAACAAAGGGGGAAAAACATTACAAGAATTTCTGTTTAACAACGAATTAATTTTACTAAACGATGGCACACCCACATTTCTCCGAAACCCCAACCACGACAAAAGTGCACTTGACCTCACAATAGTGAGCAGCGACTTAGCTACAATTTCAAATTGGTGGGTCCTACCCGATTGCGGGGGTAGTGATCACTTTCCAACCTCTTTGAGAATTGGGGACGCTGATCACAATTTTGCTGATATTTGGGTACAACCTTACAAAGTTAGAAATTTTTACGAAGCCAATTGGGATCTCTATTATCAAAAACTAAAATTGGAAACCTTTCCTAATGATATCACTTTTTTACAGTTCGAATCTAAATTAAACACTATTGCAGACCAAACTATTCCTTTCAAAACATTAAATGAACCTTCGAAAGAAGGCAATGCATGATGCATATGATGAATATAGACACAACTGCGCCACGTCCTTCTTGCGGGGTTTGCGTCTCTGCTACTACTGTTCAGGGTTTGCATCCTTGCTATTGTCGGCCTACCCATTAC